TGAGTGGCCAACTCCTTAAACCCCATGTTTCATTTGCCACGACTACTCAGGGCATCACGTATCTTTAAGTCAGATTTCCCGTGTAGGAGGGTCTGAGTATTCAGATCCACACGACATATTAAAGGAAAGCATTTGAGGGAATAAAACAGGATAGAAAAGAGGAGGAGCATGGATACAGTCTCAGGTAAAAGTCTGGTCTTGGTGTGAAACACAAATGGAGGGTCCTACCTCAAATCCCATCCCCTTTTGCGGCAAGTGCGTCGGTTTTTTATGCCCCATAATTAGGCATTGGCTGTGGGTTGGACTAACGCCTGGGTGTGGCAGCTCCCATTATCTGAGGGCAGTTCCTTCTTCAGAATCTCCGGAGAGGAGGGGCAGTGGAGCCTGAGCAGCTAGAAATTCAGAGCTGCTTGAGGGGTGCACCAGCTTCATTAAGGGGATCTAGGTATCCGGGGCACTGGTCTCATCATGTCAGTGCACAACATGCATGTTCAACAAATATTTATTGGGCATTTGTTATAAGTCAGGCAAAGTCAACAGAAGCATGGCTTTAGCAGTGCCCCAAAGTCCCGCTTTCCTCTCTCTAGCAAACAGGCTCAAGTTAGGTCCCTTGAGACAACAAGACTGTGTACCCAACTACGACTAAGTAGTTTAACTCCAGCTGTCACCTCAAAGCTGAAAGCCTTCTATGTGCCCCAGGGTGGAGGGCTGCCACCTGGGCAACTGGGCACCAAGGTGCTTACTTCCATCAAGTCCAGTTCCCTCTTCACCTCAGATGTCCTTCCTCTTATAATGTCATCACTCTTAATCCAGTTTTGCCTGTCTTCTCCTTTTCCTTAAGGTACCAGATCCCTTCTTCTTAACATACAACTGACCAGCAGGCACAGTCGGGTCAACATTGGATTGGTTAACAGCCAGGACAGCGATTCAAATCTACCAGCTGCTCCAAGGGAAAAAGAAGCGACTATCTGCTACTGTATGGATTTACAGTCTCAGAAACCATATACAAGGGCACCTGGGAATTTCTCTTTGCACTAGTTAACCAGAATGCGAGTAATAAAACAGAAACAAGATAAGAGTTTTTCACAGAGAAGCCACAGATTGAATGAGGCAGCAGGAGCACATGCCACTTAGCTTCTGAACCCAAATTTAGCCAAAATGTAAATACCTTATGTCCCCTTCCAAAAGAGTTGAATACTCAGCGTGTGAGTGGCTGGAGCACTGCAGTGGCTTACATTGCCGCTTTTCCTGAAGAGGTCTATTGCCGAGGTACCCAAACACAGGTACCGCACTCAGAGCTCATTCTCATTCCCTGTGTTCGTCCCTGAATAGATATGCTGCTGTCAAGCAAGGCAGAAACTACAAATGAAGTTTATTTATATTGCATTCACGAGGCTTTTCCCAATCTGTTTACTGAGTTTCAAATGAAGAACGAAGGACATTTGAAAGTTTTCCTTCATACAGCATATTGATAGGCTCTCTCTCGTGCAGATTCACAAGGGCAGATATGCTAACCAAAGCATTTCTCCATGGTGAGGGCAGGCAGGCACCAATCTACCTTGGACTCACCCATGCTGCCAAAGGCTGAAGGATCTCGACATACGCTGGGGGTTAAGCTGGAGAAAACAGACTGGAGCGTTTGCACTCGTGTACAAATACGGGTTCTCTTTGGAAAGGCCTATGTTAAATTATGTAAGGGCTATTACTAGAGACATATCTAGACACTTGGGCTATTGATAGGTTCTGTTCTCTCATGGCTTCTCATATGTTTAAAGAGGCTGCAACTCCCACTGAAATTCATTCCACGTTGTTTACATTGAAAGGGTTTTTCACCAGTACGGATATTTTGATGTGGATTGAGATGTGATTTAAGAGAGAAGTCTCTTTCACATTCGTTACATCCACAGGCCTTTCTGCTGGAATAGATTTTTTGATGTTGCTCTAGGTGGGAGCGTTGGCCAACACTTTCTCTGCATAGATCACATTCATAGGTTTTCTCTTCCCTAGGAGTTCCGTGGTGCTGAATAAGGTCTGAGCCATAACTGAAGGCTTCTCCACATACATCACACTTGTAAGGCTGCTCTTGCAACTCAATCTTCTTATCTTCAAACACTGTTAGGTTCCAGCTATTTGCTTCTTCACAAGTGCTGTTTTTCCCACTCTTCTGACCTGTGTGGAGGACCTGATGCTCAACGAGGCTAACATATTGGAGAAATCTCTCTCTGCATTCATGACACTGATGGGATTTCTCTTTAGTGTGGAGTCTCAGATGTCCAGCAAGGTGTGACCTTCTGCCAAAGTTCTTCCCACATTCATTACACTTGAAGGGTTTCTCCCCGCTGTGGACACGCTGATGCTGGACCAGATGGGACCTCACTCTAAAAGCTTTCCCACACAAATGGCAAGTGTAGGGCTTCTCACCAGTGTGTACTCGCTGGTGCTGTGTGAGGTGGACCCGTTGGTTGTAGCTTTTCCCACACTCAGCACACGTAAAGGGTTTCTCCCCAGTGTGTATCCGCTGATGTTGAATAAGATGTGCACTCTGAATAAAGCTTTTCCCACATTCACCACATTTATATGGTCTCTCTCCTGGAGAGGATTTTTTATGAGCATTTATTACTTCGTTGAAATTTATCTTCTCTGATGGGGGCTGCCCTAGTACTGCCTTCATGGGAATCCCCTGGTTTCTATCCAAAGTGCTTGGAAGCTCACAGTCTTCTCCAAAATCTTGAACTTGCGAAATATTTCTTTGGTTTTTTCCTGATAGCTCCGTGTCTGTTTCTGAAAACTGTGAAATTTTGTTCTTAGCGTTCAATTGTGGATTCTTCCTTCTTTTGTCACTGCCTGAAAAAATAAGGAGGAAAAGTGAATGTTATTGGTCCTTTTATAGAAGAAAAGGAAACGAGCAGGGAAAACAAAGTGGTATATATTTGATGCCAACAGGCATGGGAAAAAAAGACCCTGAAACATTTGAGATTTGTGCAGCAAAAACAGCAAGAAAACGAAGAGGGTAACTTAGACAGGGGGAGAAAGTGACTAAGAGTATGTAGTAACAGGGACAAGGAAAAACTTGTATTACAGAGACGAGAAGGAAAGGAATGCTGGAACATGAGTGAGAACAGGAAACGTGGAAAGGTTCGTTGTTTCAACATAGGTCAGGCAGAAAGAATGAGGTAGAACAAGAATAAACATCTGGATGCTGAGAACTGACAAAAGCTGGGAGAAAGGAAGCAAAATTGGGAGGGGGGAAATGAGCTGGGAAAACATCTGATTAAGAGCAAGGAAAGGAGAGATGAGTCAGCAAAAATTACCATTAAAAGGGCAAGTGAATTCACTCTCAGTCCCTGTCCTCTTCATCCTCGGTCAACTCTCTAGCTGCCGTTTCTCTCCCACAGCACATCGCTCCACGAGCCCATGACCGTTCCGCTCACTGCCACAGCGTGAGCATCTAGCACTGCAAACCTCCAAACTCCCTGCCATCAAGTGGATTCCGACTCTGGTGAGCTCATCTGTCACAGGAGGCTCTCCCTCAGGGTGTCTGCATGAGCACATAGTGTCTCTTTGTGATGCAAAGGGGGTGTGGTGGTGGTGAAGGGCAGTCAGTGAGTGTTAACTGGGCAACTACTCAGAGAAATGACGGGCAGAGTATAGTGTATGTAACAGGTACGATTTTAAAGCAATTGCGTCCCAAGTCACACAGATTGGAAGGTTTCCCCCCAAGAGGTAGTCCCCCAGGAGAATTCAACAGAAGTGGCTGAGGAGACAACTAAGTTCAACCCAGAACTTTAAGATGATACGAACTTCATAAACTCCTCTTCCACGACGGGAGGGGTAGTAGTGGTTGGTTAAGTTCCATGATGAATAGATCAACTGAGGGATATCAAAAGCTACCTCAAAGAGATATCCACCACCCTTGGACCAGTCCTACAGCGGTCTGTAGAACATTAATAAAAGTCTAGGTTCACAGCAGTTTACAATGATCCTACAGACGTATGTTTAATTGCACTTGAAGAGATAAAGAAAATATATAAGAAAACAAACAGGAAAATAATTCAACCTTATTCACAATCAAATTAATGAACAGGAATACAACAAAGGATACTCTCACTCCATTTGTGACATTAAAATAAAAAATGCTGGCATGAATTTGGTCAGAATGATACTCTCATATGTGGTACAACTCTTTTAAAAAGCAACTTGGTAATAAACATCAAGCATCAAAAAGGTATTTCTAACCTTTCCTCTTTTCATCCGACTTCTAGGAATCTACAATAAGGAAATAAACCCAAGCACAGAAAAACAAAACATAGGCATTGCACAATTATCAGAATAAAACCCAGCAATTATCACAAGTTTGATCTTCAAGAAACAGTTGGGTAAATTACACAATGGCAAGTTTTGTAGTCAGAAATAACAAATAGGAAGGCTGAAAATGCGCGATATTTAACTGTACCCTCCTCCCTCCCCGGCGCCCCCTGCAAAACAAAAACAGAAACAACCCAAATTCACTGCCATCGAGTGGATGCCAACTCATAGCAACACTACAGGACAGGCAGAACTGCCCTTGTGGGTTTCTGAGACTGTAACTCTTCATGGGAGTAGAAAGCCTGACCTTTCTCCCAAGGAGCGGCTGATGGTTTCTCAGTGCTGACCCTGCAGTTAGCAGCCCAAGGGGTAACCACGGAGCCACCCGGGCAGCAGCAGGAAGGTCTGCAATTTGAACCCAACAACTATTCTGTGGAAGACTAAGCTTGGTGATCTGCTCCCATGAAGATTTCGGCCAACCTAAGTCTAGGGGGCAGTTCTACTCTGGCCTACAGGGTCACTGTGAGTCAGCAGCAACTCCATAGCGTCCGACAACACAGTGAATATAATGACATTAAAAACTAACATGTGAAAAAGGTCGAAGGAAAGACACTACATAGCAGTTTCATTAGTTAAGGAGGTCAGATCGTGGGTGCTTTTTCCTCCCCCTACCCCCCATCCCTCTAAATGCTCTATACTACTGTTATTTTATTATTTTAGAATAAAACAAGTGAAATAACTAAATTACGAAAAAGGGAAAGAAGCATTAAGAGAATTTAAAAAAATCTCATTTACTATAATAATCAAAAATTGGATGTCTAAAATTGATCATTCAAGAAACAGCAGTATTATTTTAAAAATATAGAATCACCAGAAGAAACAGGTAAGAGTTAAAAGCAGGTACTTCTGTGGAAAGGGGTAGGGGTAAGTAGAGAGGAAGCATACAGTTCTACCTGCTAGCTTGATAATCAGAGAGAAAGTCTAAGAAGGGACCAGCTAAGCTGCTCTATCTGCCCATCCTTATTGCTCCCAGCCTCACGACCCACCTGTCCTAAGCTAATCAACCGCTTCTCGCTCTTAATCCCCCAAAACAAACTGCTCGTGCATACATCTTTGGGACTGCTCTCGGAAGTGACGTTTCAGGTGCTCGATCAGGTGGGAATGCCGACCGAAGTTCTTCCCGCACTCGTTGCATCCGTAAGGTTTCTCTCCACTGTGCACCGTGTGATGCTGGACCAGGTGTGAGCTCACCCGGAAATGTTTTCCACACACTTGACATTTATAGGGTTTCTCACCAGTGTGGACTCTCTGGTGCTGGGTAAGGTGCACACGCTGATTATAGCTCTTCCCACATTCACCACATTTAAATGGCTTTTCTCCAGTGTGGATCCGGCGATGCTGATTGAAGTTGGAGGTTTGGAGAAAAAATTTCCCGCAATCATTACATTTGTGACCTCTCTTACCGCTTCTCTTTTGCTTACGGGTAATGCCTGTGGTTGCACCAAGCTCTCCTTTCTTTGAAGGCTTCTGCCTTGATTTCCCTGCAGTGGGGTTTACCTGCCACTTTTCTACCACGTCCTTAGGGTCACTAACTTGTGCACACTTTGGGCTCTGGGGCTCATTCCTCTCGGCGTTTTCCGGTGGCGTCCAGGGGGATCCGGCTTCATCCGACAGCTGCTCTATAATGAGGTCCATGCTGTCATTCTTGGATTCATCATCTGAAACGGTCGAAGCAGACAGATCAGCAAGCCCCTGTGTTACAGGAAAAGCAAACGGGCATATCATGGGCTAGGGAACTAGGGTAACCTCAATGAGACCAGCATGGGCGGGACCGCAGGGCTCTGCAACGTCATTTGCAAAACGGACTTTCCTGTACAGGGATCTGAAAGAGAGCATTCCAGCAGAGAACTGGGACGGGCTAAGGAAAGGAGAGCTGGAAAGATGGTCTGAAGGGATGAGGCCGGAAGAGCAGTCACTATCTGATGATCCTTACATACGGAATCTGTGCAGGGTTAAACATGGTCACGTGCCGGGCTGCTACCTACAGGCCAGCAGTGCAAAACCACCAGCTGCTCTGTGGGAGAAAGACAGGGCTTTCTACTCCCGTTAGGGAGTTACAATCTCGGAAACTCACAAGGATGTAGCTTTGAGGACTAAGGTGTCTCTGACCCAAGCCAGGGTCTTTTCAATCGCCTCATGTGCATGTGAAAGATGGACCCTGAATAAGGAAGACCAGAGAAGGATCAATGCCTTTGAATTACGGTGCTAGCGAAGAATATTGAAAGAGCCATGGACTGCCAAGAACCAACACATCTGTCTGGGAAGAAGTACAGCCACAAGGCTCCTTAGAGGCAAGGATGGCTTCATCTCGCATACATTGGACATGTTATTTTATGATCTTTATACACTACAATGTATGTGGCATACAAATACTGTATGTACTTGAGTAGAAGCCGACCCGAATATCAGCCGAGGCACCTAAGTTTACCACAAAAACTGCATTAAAAATGTGCCAAAAAACTCGGCTTATACACAAGTATACAAGGTATTTATTCTTATAAAAATTGTCAACCAATTACATGGACCTGTGTGTGACCTCCTCCCTGGGGGACAGACAACCAAAAAGTGGATGAAGGGAGACGTCGGACAGGGCAAGATATGACAAAATACCCATTTATAAACTATCAAGGCTCATGCGGGAGGGGGGAGCAGGGAGGGAGGGGAAAAATGAGGACCTAATGTCGGGGGTTTAAATGGAGAGAAAATGTTTTGAGAAACGATGTACAAATGCGCTTTACACAATTGATGTGTGTATGGATTGGGATAACAGTTGTATGAGCCCCTAATAAAATGTTAAAAAAGAAAAAAAAATAATAATAAAAAGAGAATATACAAAAAAAAATTGTCACTGCTTTTTGAATCTTACTTTTGCAAATTATTCATCAAATGCTTAGAACGATTTGAAAAAGAAAGAGGACCCAGATGGTAAATGGTGAGGACCATTCTTCCAGGGAAGCCTTTCCGGCTTTAAACCACTCAGCATCCCTTTGTTCTGTCTGAATGCCCACCCTGAGCACAGGAAGTGCTCTGGAATCCTCATCCTTTGAGGTGCTATCCAGTACTTTTATGAGCCACACAGCCAGCTGCCTTTGCCTGGTCAATCATACACAAGGAAACATGTTTCTGGGACCCACTGCTTTCACTCAAGCTCCACCTGACACCCACCACGATAACCCGTGTTCTGCATCCAGCTTGAATTTCTAGCAATTCTTTGTGGATGTACTTACACCAGCAGCTTTTGGTTTAAAATCGGGAAAGGTGTACGTCATAGTGTATCCTTTCACCAGACCCATTCAATCGATAAGCCAAGTCATGTGAGAAGCTGGCCTCTGAATAAGAATGACGCATCAGAACTGGAGGAAAATGATGCCCAATATGAAATATGGAGACGATGCAGTCTTGCTCGTTGAACGTGAAGAGAACTTAAGCGCTTGCTGATGAAAGTCAAGGACCACGGCCTTCAGTATGAGTTACACCTCAACACAAAGAACACTAAGTCTCCACAACTGGACCAACAGACAACATCATGGTAAACAAAGAAAAGGTGGAAGGTGTTAGGGCTTTCATTTAACTGCGGTCCACAATCAATGCCCATGGAAGCATCAGTCAAATCTGCTGCAAAAAGCCCCACCCCACTACCAGTAAACCGGGCACTGAGCTAATTTAATAGCAAAAACTGACCTGAGCAGATATAAAGCTATTTGAAGTCTTTACTGAATCCAGTTACTGTAAATAGGCATATATTTTCTAGAGAAGTAAATAATGTGTTTGACTATGGGGTATAAGTCAAATCACAGTATCTTTCTTTTTTTTTCTCCCACAATATCTTTCTAAATCTGAAACACCTTGCATTCTAAAGGTTTTTCTTTTTTAGGGATTCTAGGCCTGCAGACATGTATCACACAAAATATGACACTTACTTTTCTTCCTTGAAGAATCTGTCTGGTACAGGATGATGAAAGTTTGAAAAAGAGAGCTTCTGTTCCACAGGTCATTGTGAAACACTGCTCCCAACAAGATGTCACGGTGACTACTGAGCAGCTGAAGTGAATGCAGTTAGGCACTGGAAGGCTTTCTTGTCCGTAAGTAACAAGACAACAAAAACCCATGAGGCCAAGTTGAAAGACTGCTTTAAGTCATTGGGAGACTTTGTAAAGGCTCTCGTAAGGTCTCCTAACCAAGCCATCCTAACAAGGCGCCTTTTCTCAGGTATATACAGAAGAATGGAATGGCATAATGATTCAACTTCCAGATCTCTACCCCTTCCCCACCTCCATCCTCTGCCAGGGCCGGAGGGGCTGCTCCGTCCTAAAGACTCTCTCTTACGAAAGCACCTGCCCACATGGGCAGGGCGGGTGCTCACCATTTTCCTCCAGAAAGCGAGGTTGCTGCGGCTCTTCTTTGGGCTGGACATCCACGGACAGGCGCTGCTCCCTGGAGGATGCCTGCCCAGCTCTAGGCGGCACCGGCTTCTGAGGAAGCACTTCAGCAATCTAAAACCACAGCCACAACAAAGCATCACAGGTTAGCAGGCAGGCTCCGGAGGAATCCAGCTGAGGAATCCATTCTTCTTCCATCCATTCCTTTGCTAAATAACGAGCCTGGCAATGACTATACACTAGTTTGATACTGTGGTCTGGGCCTAGCTGGATAAGACTTTCATTTGACACCTTAACTTGCAAGTAAACTATGCAACTGCATACTGTGTTACATGTGAGAAGAGAATGGTGTCAAAGGACTGAAAAGCAGTTAAGTATACCATAGGTTATGTGGTTAAAACAAACAAATACAATTCATAGAGACCCTCTAGGACAGAGCAGATCTTAGCAGATCTTAGGGTGTGGTTTTGACAGAAACAGACGACCAACGCGTTGTCAAACAGAGACGCTGGTGGATTCAAATCCACACTGAGTGCTGAGCCACTGTACCCCAAAGGCTCTTCAGACCAGGGGGTTAGGGGAGACTAGTCTAAGAAACCGCCACCTGTGTAGCCATCTAAGGGATTCGAGGCAGCTAGCCAGGAGCAAAGCAGGAGAAATGTCACCGACAAAGAGAACAGCATAAGCAGAAAGTTTGGTGCGATCAAAGAACTTTTTGAAGGATAGTGTGGGTAATGCTCAATGGAGAAATGAGTTTGGAAAGTAACTATAAACTCAAAACTCAAACACCATCAAGTCAATGCTGACTCATGACACTACAGGACAGAGGAGAACTGCCCCTCTGGGTGTCTGAGACTGTAACTTTTTATGAGAGCAGAGAGCCCCATCTTTCTCCCAAGGAATGGCTGAAAGAGGGTGAAAGCTCAAAGGATTTGAAACTCAAGGTGGAGGGGTGCTATGGGAAGCAAGGGGCTGGAAGCAGCTGACAACTCTATTTCAATATAGTTATTACCCTTCAGCAGCATGTCTAGAATAGGCTGCAGAGTACCTTGCAGAAGAAGCAGACTTGAGAGTGGTTGTAGCAGAATAATTGTGTGTACCCTAGATCTGGGCAAAGTGGGAAACGGAGAACCTGAAAGAGAGTGTAAGCAGCCTAATCTCTACTCTCATGACCACAGGGCATGGAAGACCGGCTCTCTAGTCTTTAGAGGGAAACCTCCACAGTTCTGTGAGGTAAGGTTACCACCAAATACACATTTCTCCAGATCGCTCCATCATCGACCTCCATTAAAATGCTAATACAAAGGTCTCTCCTAACTGAGCCTGGCTCCTCACTATGCAGTTAAAGAATGCCTATCTTTAAGAGCAGTCAGATTCTTTTGTCCCTTGTACCCAAGGAGTGATTCCCTCCTTTTGTCTCTTAAAGGTCTCAGACACTTGTCATGCAGTGTTCCCTAGGAAGCTCAGGATATCCCAGATTCAACATTGCCCACACCATGCCCATCTATGTGCCAACTCTAGGTTTGCAGGCCTCATTACTGCATAACTCCATTGTTGAAGAAACTCCAGACTGCTTTTCTCCCACGTTGGAGATCAGTCCCATGCCCCCCTTTCCTCTTTCCTTAATTCTATAGTTGCGTGGTTGTCTCCTCAGGACCCCATTCGCTTGTGGGGCTGGACCCCACAAAGCAAGAGCTACGAATGGAAGGGTGAACTCTGGACAAGAACTAACTGAGGTGTGGATGTTGGAACGACCTATTTGAACCTACTTTGTTGAGGGACTGGGGTGAGTCCTACTGGCCTAGCAGTTAGGTGTTGGGTTGCTAACCACAAGGTCGGGAGAAAGACAAGGCTTTCTACTCCTGCAAAGGGATACAGTCTCAGAAACTCACCGGAGGTCGTTCTACCCTTGTCCTGTGGGGTCGCCATGAGTCGGCACCGAGTCCATGGCGACTAAGATGTGGTACCCGAGTTAAACTACGAGGCAGCTGCACAAGAGCTGCGGCAAATATCACCCTGCACGGAAGGAAGCCTGTGTCCCTCCAGAGTCACCCGAGAAACAGGTAAGGGGGTTAGGATGATTGATGGCAAGTATGGCCGAGGCCCTATGCATCACAGCAGCCGTGGAGGTCCACTGAGTCTGTAACACAGAAACCAAGCCTGTGACAACTTGCCAAACACAAGAACTGCTGAGAAACAGTTAAAGAACAATGTTGGGGCTCCCAGAAAGCAGGCAGAGACAAAAACAAAGTGAGCTTCAGGGGGCCCACGAGGAAGCCCCCTACCTGGGACTGAAATCTCAAACTCCCATGAAGCTTTTTGTTTGTGTCCCTTCCAAAGACGGGCTGCTCCTCACAAGGAATGAGGTAAATATTCACCCTCTGCTATAAATCCTGTATTAAAAGATCCCTTTGGTTTGAAACTATGGTTTTATATGTTTGCTTTTCTACAGCAAAAGGTGCAAGGCTGTGCATGAGAGTCGCAGATGACATTCATAGAGAGTGAACTGGATGTCCCCACGAGCCTTCACGTCTTCTCCTGACTGAACCACAGACAGGAGTAAACATTCCGCTGAAGGGACCTCGTGCAGGACACATGTATGGAGGAGTGACAAGGAAGGGCAACAGTGAGGAGGCTGGGACCTTATACTGTAGTGCAATGCCACTACAGCAGCGCTTCTCAACCTGTGGGTCATGACCCCTGTGGGGCTCAAACAACCCTTTCCCAGGGGTCGCCCGATTCATAACAGTAGCAAAATGACAGTGATGAAGTAGCAACGAAAAAAATGTTATGGTTGAGGGGTCACCACAACATGAAGAACTGTATTAAAGGGTCACGGCATGAGGAAGGTTGAGAAGCACTGCTCTAAAGAATACGGGGAATTCTCTTAACTGTTAGGTTTCTGGGGTGGGATACCTCGGTTTTGCCAAAAGAATTCATGCAGAAGCACTTTTTTAACCCAAGTGACTCTGATGAGGGAAAGGGAAGTTTCAGGTATTACATTCTCTAAAAGTACATGCTGTTTCTGGACAGCATACAAGGCTGTGCGGGAACCAGGGAACCACGCACGCAGGAGTTAGCAATTGAACTCAAATAAACACATGGAAAGAATACCGGAGCAGGAGCTGGAAACCAGGTGTGCAGAACCAAGAAATCCCCAGAGGCCAAGAGGGCCAGCGCCCCAGCTGGCACGTGGGCACCTGCATGCAGGTGAGATTCCCACCCGCCACTAGCAGAGCACACCTGAAAGAAGAGGCCGAGGCTTTCTCCCCACTGGCTGGGGAGCCGTGGTTGTGGGTATCATCTGACCTTATTGGCTGTGATTAAGCACACCTGTGTGATGTCATGTGCCTAAGTTGTGGCCAGGTTTAACTTCACCTGCACCTAGGTGACTTGTGTCTGCGCATGCTCAATTACAGATTTTCCCATAGGTGTCTAATTAGTATGCCTGATTCCCTGCAACTCCTTGGTGTGGCCCTGCCTGGCGATTTCCACTAGCAAAGGCATCGGGGGGAGACAACCCCCCTCACTCCTTTATCCCTATTCTAGCTACCTTCCATTACTACAGGCAGTCTCTGGGTTAGGAATTCCCAACTTCTGTCCAATCCTTAGTTATGAACCAACCCTGTGAAGCTTATATTAAAACTTTGGGGTACATACAATGGTTCACACTAATAACTGGGTGTTACTTTGTGACACACATAAAAACATCACCCTGAATCTGGCTAGACCAGAGCATGTACACAAGTACAGATAAGAGCTGGAAACACAGGGAATCCAGAACAGATAAGCCCCTCAGCACTAATATTGAGAGTAGCCATACCAAGAGGGGAAGGGGAAGATGGGGAGAGAAAGGGGGAACCGATCAATGATCAGCATATAACCCCCTCCCAAGGGGGCGGAAACAGAAAAGTGGGTGAAGGAAGACAGCGGTCAGTGTAAGACATGAAAAAAAAAAAAAAGATACATTATCAAGGGTTCATGGGGGGGCGGGGGTGAGCTGATGCCAAGGGCTCAAGTAGAAAGAAAAGGTTTTGAAAATGATGATGGCAACAAATGTACAAATGTGCTTGATGTATGTATGGATTGTGATAAGAGTTGTACAAGCCCCCAATAAAATGATTTTTTAAAAGGTAGGGTAGAAAGAGGGAACCGATTACAAGGATCTACATATAACCCCCTCTCTGGGGGACGGACAACAGAAAAGTGGGTGAAGGTAGACATCGGACAGTGTAAGACATGACAAAATAATAATTTATAAATTATCAAGGGTTCAAGAGGGAGAGGGGAGCTGGAGGGAGGAGGAAAAATGAGGACCTGATACCAAGAGCTCAAGTAGAAAGCAAATGTTTTGAGGATGATGGCCATAAATGTACAAATGTGCTTGACACAGTGGATGGATGCATGGATTGTGATAAGAGTTGTACAAGCCCCCAATAAAATGATTTAAAAAAAAATCATCCTGTAATATCATGTTAAAGATATTTTAGCATATCTAGAAATGTTTCTTTTTTTAATAAATAAATCATTTTATTGGGGGGGAAGGTTTCTTTAATGCATTCTTATGCATAAAAAGATATCCTATGTACTATACATCTCACTGCCATCGAGTGACCTCTGACTCCCAGCGACGCTAGAGGACAGGGTAGAACTGCTCCTCTGAGTTTCCGAGACTGTCACTCTGTACAGGAGTAGAAAGCCTCATCTTTTTCCCTTGGAGGGGTTGGTGGCTTTGAACTGCTGACCTTGAGTTTAATAGTCCACCATGTAAGCACTGCACCACAGGGCTCTTATTCCCATAGAGTTAGTCTTGGAAACCCACAGGGGCGGTTAGTTCTACCCTGCACGACAGGGTCACTGTGGGTCAGAATTGACTCAGCGGCACTGAATTTCTTTATATAATATGTAAGACAAACATTTGATGAACATTAGATATGAGTTGGACTTAATGTTCTAATTTATGTGCACATTAGACTTAAAGATAGATTTAGGAACAGAAATCATCCATAATCCAGAGACTGCCTATAGCTTTGAACTCGTGTAGTTTCATGAGCCTGTGGCTTTTGTATCTTTGTTATTAAAGTAATAATAATAATAATAACAACCGTTTAGTAGTGTATGAGCCTGGCAGGAAGATGATAGGGTCTGGTTATGATTAACCTTAAGAAAGGCTTTCTGCAGGCTTTTCTTCTTTCAAGATTTTAAACTTCAAAATTCATTTCATTAAGCAAAACAAAACATAGGGTATGCAAACATGAGGCCTTTGGGGAGTAATTCGACTAGCTGTGTAGTCTTTCTTCCATTCACCTGTTTTTGTGTGTCCACATCAAGTGGACTGTGTGTGCAGTTGGAACCAACATATAGACATATAGTAAGGTTCTGATAGAACGCTTCATTAAATGGAAATGGAGTCAAGAGGACAAGAAAGCTCTGAGGCACTACAAATCTCAGGGACCTTCAAGCTGGTGAGCTGCTTGGAGTCAACCAAAGCCACTGGAGCCCTGTGGGGTAGTGGGTTACCTGTCGGACCACTAACCACAAGGTCAGCAGCTCGATATCACCAGCCAGATTCATGGGAACAAGATGAGGCTTGGTACTCCAGTAAAAAATTACAGTCTCTGAAACCCACAGCGGCTGTTCTATCCTTCCCTAAAGGATCGCCATGAGTCAGAACTGTTTTGTTTTTGTTTTATGTGTATGAATAGGATAGGGCTATCCTGCGGTTTCCAAAAGTCCTAACAGGGGTTGGTTAGGAGCCGAGGACCCTAGATGAAAAAGGGGAAAAGAGACTTGAAAGCAAAACTGGGAGATCTGTAAACTGGCCTTAGCCTCCACGTGGACTGGGGTCCTTCCCTCTGGCTTTGGTGGACCAGGCACTACGTACGCACACGGTCAATGCAATAGGTTAACTTACTTATGCCCACTAATTGCCTGCCTAGAAACACACCAGCCACTGTTGGGTTTTTTATCACAATCCATCCATCCATCCATTGTGCAGCCATCTCTTTTGACCTTGAAGACCAAAGCCAAATGCTAAGGAAAATGAAACAGGGCAGTAGGAGTCTAGTACCTTCATGACTTCTGCAAGGAGCTATCCCCGCTATGGCCTAACTACCTCAAACCTTCAGCTAAGTGGTGGAATCAAACATTAATATATAGGTAACAGTCCCCAAATATTAAAAGAAAAAAGTATAAGGAAGGACCTTATGTAGAAGGAAAGAAATAAGGAAAGACCTTATTTATAACAGCAATAACTCACAATGCTCAGGAGTAAATGTACAAAACTAAGCAAGAATTCAATGCCATCAAGTCAGTGCCTGCTGATAGGGACCCTATAACCTATAGGGCAGGGTAGAACTGCCCCGTGAGTTTCCGAGGCTGTAACTCTTTCTGGGAGTAGAAAGCCCTGTTTTTCTGCTGAGCTTATAACAGTGTTTCCCAAAATGGGCGATGCCCCCCCTGGGCGTGCTGGGACAACTCTCAGGATGGCTGCAAAAGCAGCTCTCTACACTGGATCCTGGACTGTGGGCGATGGTAAAAAAAAAAAAAAAAAAAAAATGGGGGAACCTATAACTGTATGAAGAAAAGGGGGCCCTGGTGGTGTCGTGAGCTACAGGTTAGGATGTTAACTATGAGGTCAGGAGATCAAATCTACCAGCTACTCCTCAAGAGAAAATGAGGCTTTTTGCTTCTGTACAGCTCAAAAACCTAAAGGGGCAGTTCGACGTTGTCTTCTCGGCTGGCTGTGTCAGAACAGACTTGATGGCAGTAGGTTAGGTTTTCCGGATGAAACTCTAAAATGCTTCATAGGAACATAGACCAAAGACATGAACAAATGGAAAGACAGCCCATGAAAATGGACAGCACAACAAGATCACGGAATTACTCCTCTGTAAATTAACTTAGACGAAGGCCCTGGTGGCACACTGCTACGAGTGCTGGGCCGCTAGCCAAAAGGTCAGTGGGTCCAACCCTGAAGGTGTTCTGTGGGAGAGAGGTGTGGCCGTCTGCTGTCATAAAGATTTCAGCTTTGGAAACCCTCTGGGGACATTCTAGTCTGTACTATAGGGTCGCTGTGAGTCTGGATCAACTGTGGACAGTGGTGGGCTTGGTGTCTGGTTGGCTAAATTAACGTAAGATTTCATGCAATCCCAGCAAAAACACCAAGAGGGCTATGGAGTGGCCGAAACGAAATAACCAATTCTATAGCTCATAAAAAAGAAAATCCTCGAGGAAATAAATTAGAGGGGAGAAGAGTAGTCTGCCAGACACCAAGCCATTTTACAGAGCTCGAGTCCTTAAAAAACAACCTCCCGAGTAGAGAGTGCGGCAGCTAAAGCAGAAGAGAAAGGTCAGACATAGACACAAACACATGCAGAAACTGGGGAGGTTGGCATTTTAATCACAGAGGGGAAGGACTTGGACTACGAAGCTGCTTGGGCAAGTGCATAGTCATCTGGGGAAGAAAGGATGTCATCACAGACCACAGACCAAAATAAATTCCAAACGAATCAGGCATGTAAAAGGGTACTGCGATTTTTTTTTTTTTTTTAACAAAATGGATAAGAAATTGTTAACAATGTCATGGAGAAGATCTTTCTCAGTATGGCATGGAATCCAGAAGCCCTAAGCACGATGATTTAAACTGGTCAGATAAGTCACTCATGTGGCTGAGGAACACATTACTACAGAGAGAACAGTTGATAGTGTAGAGAGTCTATGTTTCCAAAAACTTGGAAAACAACAATCTCCATTAAGCCAAACAGGCAGCAAGCACACTAGCTATCGGACAGTGTAAGACATGACAAAATAATAGTAATCTATAAATTATCAAGGGTTCATGAGGGAGGAGGGAGCAGGGAGGGAAGGGGAAAATGAGGAACTGATAGGAAAGGCTCAAGCAGAAAGCAAATGTTTTGAGAATGATGATGGCAATAAATGTACAAATGTGTGGGAAAAAACAACAAACGTACAAATGTGCTTGACACAATGGATGCATGTATGATTGTGATGAGTTGTACGAGCCCCCAGTAAAAAGATTTTTTTAAAAAATATATCATTTGCAACCCTGACATAGAGCTTATTTTTTTCTCATAGGTAAACAAGATACCCAGAGTATTCACCAAGCGCGCACTGTGATGAAACTCACTCAGAAGAGAAATACACATTAAAGTTGCACAGAAATGGAATATTTCATCTTTCCTATTGGCAACATGCAAGTCTGAGAGCATGTCCTGTTATCAGGCGGGTCGAGAAGCTCCTAGTTCCTTCTGTGCAGTGAATATAAACGTGGGGATACAAATGGGCTCACTCACTCACTCTCTGGCAGCCTGTTGACAGTTACCACAATTATAAATAGTTACGGATTCTCAGAACAACTTGATTACTAAGGATTCATTCTACACTTAATCATAAAGAATATCTACTACAGCAGTTTGTTAAGACTAAAAATTTAGCAACAATCGAAATGACAGCCTGACTAGGTATTCCAACAGGTGTTGAATAATGAGGGCATATCTGTACAATGGAATAGGCACCTGGTGGTGCAATGGTTAAAAGATGGGCTGCTAATTAATCGCAAGGTCAGCAGTTCGAAACCAGCAGCTGCTCTGCTTTATACTCCTCCAAACGGTTACAGTCTCACAAACCCGCAGAGGCAGTTCTTCCTTGTCTTAAAAAGTCACTATGGGTCGGCATTGACTCCACAGCAGTGAGAGCTTATACACTGCCCATTCAAAGACGGAGGCAGCTCTATGTGCACCAACATGAAGCAAAGTAAGATATAGGAAACTGGTAAGAGGCAGAAGTGTAGAGTGGTTTAAAACCATTTGCATTTTTATTTCTTTAGTATGTCATGTACCTATATGCTTCTATATATACACAGAATATAGTCTATAAAGACATACAAGCATCAGTGGATGCCTCTGGTGAGAATTAGGCAGTTGAGGGAGTGGGACGTGGGAGAGAACTTACTTTTCATTACACCCTTAGGTGCTTTTTGAATTTTGTACCATGTCATTCCAAAACTGACTGCGGTAATTTTAAGCACAAGTAAATAAAATCGTATGGTCTTGGATATTGCTTCTCTTGGTGGGAGTGTCAGCTTCCCACTCCGTACCTAATTCCAAGCGGCCAAAAGGCTAGGAATGAAGCACCAAAGGGCTAGAGAGGGCATCCCTGCTCAGCAGTCCCTCAACACTTCCCTCTTTCCTCCTAGCTCAAACATCGCTTCTTCCACTCACCTGTTGACGGCGTTCCTCAAACTCTTTCTGTATAGTTTCTACCACAGCCACGGCCTCCTCTCCGCTTTCCGGGCGATGCTCTCTCACCCAGGTCTGCAACTCTGCGGGCAGGATGCTCAGGAACTGTTCCAGCACCAGCAGCTCCAGAATCTGCTCCTTGGTGTGCAGCTCGGGCCTCAGCCACTCACAGCAGAGCACCCGGAGTTGGCTGAGGGCCTCCCGGGGTCCGGCTGCCTCCTGGTACCGGAAGTGCTTAAAGCGCTGGTGGAAAGTCTCAAAGGTTGGTGGATTGTTGTACTCCGGCATCCAGGTGCCGTCGTCGTCGTCTTCTTCCACCTTCACTATTAGGAGGTCTTCCTGCTCCTGCGAAGTTTGAACCGGAGGGTCTAAGTCTATAATTTCCTGGGAGCCTGTCATTATCATTCCAACTCAGAATGCGCAAATATCTCTGGAGCTGTTTTAAGATCTCCGGACCGGCACCTTCAACAGCGGTTGGTCAACCTACTGATACAATGGAAATCGCGATTAGCAAAGCGAGATGACAATGTGATCATCGACACGCAACCGAGTAATTTATCCTAAAACAAATGGTCTATCAGGCACCCATCGTTCCACCCACAAAATGATTACTAATAGAGAGCCATAATCATGGGACATTCAGCCCAAACTACAGCACACTTTCATGAGCTGAAGAACATTTAAATATCAGATAAATAATGAAACAAGACTTACTAACGGATCCAGATGCGGCCGCTTCTCCCCTCCACTATAAGTCAACTTAAGTCAGCGCAGGGGTCAGAAACGTTACAGCGCTCGACACTGGCTCATTCCTTCCACCTACAGAGCCTCACAGAGGAACCACGATCTTCATTGGTCCCGGAGGGAGGCAGTCGGATAGGAACCGACTTGGACCTGAATTCCTTGAATCCAGGCAGGGACTCGGGCCCACTTCCCCCCCGGTCCACTTCCGAAGAGCCCTCGTGGAAAATCAGCCTCCACGTAGGAGAAGAATCGCTGAAATTCGGAGAGAAAAACCGAAGCCGACACTTCCGAACGCCACTTCCTCGCCGGAAGTAAGCAAGTCCAATCCAGGCCAGGCAACTGGGTTGAGCCCTAACTCCCACCCCCGAGGGCACTTCCGCGTCCCCTCTAGGAAGCCCGGAGGTCTTCGTCTCGCTGTGAGTGAGCGCGACCACTCGGCCACGCCCCGGAAGGGCTGTGTGCGCCAATCAGCGGGGAGCTGGGGCCAGGCTCTTCAGCCTACCTGCGGGAACGGCGTGCTTTCAGGGTCCACCCGAGCCACACAGGGTCTGCGTCACTACAGCGGAAAAAGAACACTTTTCAATTTTATGGAAGACTTTCCGAAATCATTCCCTTTCCTTGCAGTGGAGGCGGCGGGCGGGGCCTCCGGGTCTGCAAAGGGTTGCAGGAGTATTGTATTAGTTGCTAGCGTCTGATTGGCCGTGGAAATTGCACCTGTGCCACAGAGTCGGTTCGAACCCATAGTGACCTCTACAACGAAACAGAACACTGCTGGGTCCTGCACCACCCTCAAAACATTGTTGCAGCCACTGTGTCAATCCATCTTGTTGAGGACCTTCCTCTTTCCCACCGCCCCCTACTTTAGGAGCATGATGTGCTTCTACACTGTCCTTGTAGAATCCACGGGGACAAATACGTAAGACGACGTCTTGTCATCTTGGTCTCTAAGGTGCATTCTGGCTATACTTTTACCAAAACAGATTTTGTTGTTGTTGTTCTTTTGGCAGTCCACAGCAGTTTTATTGACTCTGCGTATGTATTCCACGGTATGATTCATAACAAACTGCAGGCAGCCTTGCGGAGAATGGGAATTCCAGAACACCTCATCGTGCTCACGCAGAACCTGTACACGAATCAAGAGGCAGTTGTGTACCCAGAACAAGGGACCACCGCATGGTTTCGAATCAGGAAAGGTGTATGTCGCTCCATGTCCTCAATCTGTATGCTTCGACAGTCTACGATCTACAGACCTTGCTTGCTGACAGTGAGGGTGACTTATAAAACTTGCTGAGGGAGATCCAAGATGGCAGCTTCTGTACGGCTGTCAACTCAATGTCAAGAAACCCCAAATCTTCACTCCTGGGCCGGTAGGCAACAGCATGATCAATGGAAAGCAGATTGGAGTCAAGGATTTCATTTTACTTGGATCCACAATCGAAGCTCATGGAGGCAGCATTCGGCATTCAAGAAATAAAACACGTGCTGCATTGGGTAAATCTGCACAAGACCTCTTTGAAGCGCTGGAAAGGAAAGCTGTTACCTCTGAGGGCTATGGCGCGCCTGGCCCACGCCACGGTATTTTCCATCATCTTCTATGCCTGTGCTAATAGAACACTGCAGAAGTAAGACCGAAAAAGAGTCGATGCAACCTCTCAAAATTAATGGGCATCAGTTCTGACTCAGAGCGACCCGTGTAGGACTGGGCAGAACTGTCCCTGTGGGTTTCTGAGACTGTAACTTTTACGAGAGTGGAAAGCCCCGTCTTTCTCCCGGGAGAAGCAACTTAGTAATACCTTATTCGAAATAGGTCAGTCCCTTTTTGTGAAAAGCCAGCGCTCATCTTTAATTTTGGACCGTGCGGGTTTTTTCAGCCCACCTCACCCACTCTCCATTGTCTGTTCCCCTCTCCAACTACTCCTACCTCCGTATCACTCACCTTACCACCTCCACCATACAGTTAACGGATTCAGTCAGTTACCAGGACCATAATCTCCCTGCAGACTCGCCAGTCACAAGAATCAGGGGCTCCCGGGACTACACCTCCCATAAAGCACCGCGAGAAGACGCCTGGTAGCCAATCCTGGCGCGTGATCTCTTTTAGCGTCCTGCCAGCCTATCACAATGCAGCAGGACAAGGAGGCGTGACCAAGGCCCCTCAGCCTGAAATGTCAGCAGGATGTGGTGCAGGATGGAGGGTGGCCTGGCAGAAACCCCCGCATTTATGCAGAGATGGGAATCGTTTTGGCCAGACTCCTTTAACCAAGAGGACTCCCATTCCTAATAATCTCTCATTTTCGTAAGGCGACTTACGCTTTTTCCAAGTCCTTTGCTGTCTACAAAGCATTTACTATCGCCTCTCTCACCACGTTACGAAAATGAGGCTCAGAGAAACACAGGCTGTGGAATTTCGGTTCCAGCAGATCGATGAACTGGTAATGATGTGACCTTTCAGGGTCCCTAAAATCAAGCCACTAATCTGTCAACTTGTCATACTTTGGTGGGTTGTATGTTACAGTGATGGACGCTCTAGCACCTGTATTTCAAACACAGGGTTGTCCATGGTGGGCAGGTTACAGCGAAGTCTCAAGACTAAAACAAACTAAGAAGGAAGAATAGGCTGTTCGCTTCTGAGGGATTAGCCACAGGCACACCCTTAGGAATGAATAGCAGTGGAACATGGGCTGGTAGAGTGCTGAAACATGAGCCCTCAGGTTGGAAGGCAGCCCACATATGACAGAGTAGGTGGACCTTCATGTGATGGATGGTCAGTTCCGACTAGTGACCCCACATCCACCCAAGAGAAGGAAACATCAGTTGGTGCTGCCCTCCTATGTGTGGGCACACTGCTGCATCCGTCGTGTCCAGGGCCTTCCTCGTCCTCTGCTGCCCCTCCATGTTACCAAGCATGATGTCCTTCTCCAGGGACTGGGCTCTCCTGACCACGTGTCTAAAGTAAGTGAGAGGAAGTTTTGCCATTCTTTTTTTAAAAATCATTTTATTGGGGGTATGTACAGCTCTTATCACAATCCATCCTCCATCCATCCATTGTGTCAAGCACATTTGTACATACGTTGCCATCATAATCTTCAAAACATTTTCTTTCTACTTGAGCCCTTGATATCAGCTCATTTTTCCCCCTCTCCCAGTTTTGCCATTCTTGCCTCTAAGGAGCAAGAACTCCTTCCAAAACGGATTTATTGGTTCTTTTGGCAGTGCTTTCAATATTCTTTGCCAGCACTTTAATTCAAACACATCTGTTTTTCTTTGATCTTCCTTATTCGGTGTCCAACTTGCACATGCATGTGCAGTAATCGAAAACACTATGGCTTGGGTCAGGTGCACCTTAGTCCTCAAAGTAACATCCTTGCTTTTCAACATGTGAAAGAGGACTGTGTAGCAGATTTAGCCCATGCAACACATCTCTTGATCTCTTGACGGCTGCCTCCATGAGTATTAACTGTGGATCCAAGTAAGATGAAATCCTTGACCACTTCAACCTGTTCTCCACTTACCTCTATTCACCTGTTGGTTCAGTTGTGAGGATTTGGGTTTTCGGGAATTGTAATCCTTGTCGAAGGTGGCAATCTTTGATCTTCCTCAGCACATGCTTCAAGTTCTCCTCACTTTCAGCAAGCAAGGTTGTGTCACCTGCTTAAGAGAGGTTGTTGGTAAGCACCCCCAACCCTGATGCCGAGTTCTTCTCCACATACTCCAGTTTCTCTGATGATTTGCTCAGCATACAGATAGAATAAGTAGGGTGAGAGGATAACCCTTGAGCACTCCTTTCCTGATGTTAAACCATGTCCTAAAAAAACCCCCAAAAACACCATGCCCTATTCCCTTGTTCTGTTTGCACAACTGCCTCTTGATCCATGTACCGGTTTTGTATGCGCACAGTGAATTATAATTTTGAAGTTACAAGATAATAACACAACTATTTTTCAAATGCACCAACCACTGAAACCAATGAACAATGATGGAAGAAGTCTGTCAAATTCTTCCATCTGAAATTGATCGAACACACAATCAAAATGTATTGATACTTCCTGATTAAATATGAACGTTCTGCTTCTACCCGGATCCCGAAAGAAGAGGCCTGTGAGAATACCTGAGCCTGATCTGGAGCCTCTGAGATTCGGGTTATTACAGCAGGCACTGCTAGTGCACATCATGAAAGAATCTTCCCCGTATGAAAGGGTTTGCGTCTATGTTTATGGAATAATCTTTCTCAGTCCATTTAGCTAATTTGGCTCTAATATTTTCCTGGGGGATGAAAATCTTACTCCCCTTATTTCAGAGTACAGCTTATTAGGTTTAGTCCAAGTTGACTAAAATAGAAATTTACTGAATCGTATTCACAATATTTTAAAGAAGTAGATGCAGCTATTTCATAATTAGCTTATTCTCTGTGGGGAAACGATTTATTTGGAAATCCTACTCATTGGTGTGACTGATGAAAAAGTCCATGCATTAAAGTAGGTCTTCTAGTCTTCCTGGTTTTCCTGCATGTGTTCATCATGCTTGGTAAGGCAGAGGGGCCGTGAAAAGGAGGAAGACCCTGGACAAGGTGGACTGAGCAGTGGCTGCACAATGAGCGCACGCACGGGAACAACTGCGAGGGTGGCGCAGGGCCAGCTGGGGTTTCCTCCTCTTGTACATATAGGGTCGCCACGAGTCGGAACTGACCCCTCTGGCACCTGACAACATTCTGGTATATGTTACATATATATATTACATATATATATGTGAGTATATGTACACTCCCATAGATGAGAAAAATTCTTTCAATTACTCATTTTATTTCCCCCTTGTTTTCTTTTTTTAATTACGCCTCTTAGTGCTTCTTAAACGATCTGAAGCGAAGGACCAGTTTTTCATTTTTCAAACTGTGTATATATATATGTATATGTATATGTATATATGTGTGTGTATATACCTATATATACATATATATATGAAAGCTATACTGACCTCACTCACTCTCACTGCCACTGAGTCAATGCCCACACACAGTGACCCTATAGTATAGTGCAGGGCAGAACTGCCCCTGTGAGTTTTTGAGACTGTAACTCTTTTCAAAACCAAAATCAAACTTGCTGCCCTGGAGTCAATGCTGACTCATAGCGACCCCCTATGGGTTTCCGAGACCATAACTCTTTACAAGAGTAGAAAGCCCTGTCTTTCTCCCCTGGAGCTGCTGGTGTTTTCGAATTGCTCATCTTTGATCACAGCCCAACTCGTAACCACTACGCCACGTGAGCTTCTCAGATATTGAATGGGTATTCTAATTTTAGTTACTAGATTCAATAAGCATAAACTTACTGTGAAATTGTTGTCCAGGTTTCTAAAAGCCTATGATTCAGTTTAGTCCTTAACCTTCAACAGTAGTAAACAGCCCTTGGCCCAGTGCTGGTCAGCAGGCACGTTTTGAGTAACCCTGGGCGGTTATAATTGTCTCTCATTGTTGGGTAGTCCATTTGAGAACTGAGTTTCACAGTGGGCCTATGTTTGGGTGTTTCAACTCTTCTATTAAAAAAACAAAACACAACAAACAAAACCTAAACGTGATGCCAGCAAGTCAATTACTATCCACGGTGATCTCAAGTGTGACAGCCATTGGGAGTGGGGCTCCAACCATCAACCTGGTGGTCTGCAGTGGGGCAAAAGTTGTTTGCACCACCTGAATTCTTCTATATGCATTACCTAATGTGGCTGCTATACTATCTTGGCAGGAAAAGAAGCAATCACCCCCATTCTCCATATTTCAGACTATGTAGGGCCAGAATTAGAAGCATAGCTTGAGTGATGACATTTTTATATGCCATATCCAAATGAATGAAGGAGTTCTAGTGGTGTGGTCGGTTTCAAGATGGGCTGCTGACCACAAGGCCAGCAGCTGGGGACCAACAGCAGTTCTGCGGGAGAAATGAGGAGGGAGGCTCTCTGTTCCCGTAGAGATGCGTAGTCTCTGTAGTCTCGGACACTCACAGGGCCATTCTACCTTGTCTTATAGTCAGAAATGACTCGCTGGTCGTGAGATTTTTTGGTTTGTACAAATTTGTGCCTCAGAATTTGAACATAGGCAACAGGGCATTCTCCTTCAAATTTCCCCTGCTCTCCTGTTTCTCTCTTGTGGTAACCAGTGCCCCACTACCCTACCTCCCAACACAAGCACCCTAAGGGCAGGCACCACAGCAGTGGATGCTCAGTAAGTATTGGACAGTTGATGACTGAAGACCCACTGTGTGCCCTGCCCTGTGCCAGGGAGGGCTGTGGCACATAATAACCACATATATAAAAAAAACAAAAACAACTCGCGACCACCAAGTCCATCAATGCCCCTGTAGGTTTCCGGGACTAACTATGGGAGTAGAAAGTCTCGTCTTTCTCTCTTGGAGCGGCTGGTGGTTTCAAATTGCTGCCTTCATGGTTAGCCGCTCAACGCATAGCCACTACGCCACCAGGGCTCTTGCTACACACTAACCATAGCTATACACTAACCATAACATAAAATCCGATGTCTAGCGGCAGTCAGCGGTGCCTCTTGAATGCATGCATGCATGCATGAACTGGACAGCTTTCGTCAAGAGCAAACAAACAAACGAGAAACGAACACTTGTTAGCAGCAGAAAATCCTGTTTGAACTGGGTGGAAAACGGGCATATTGGGCACTATTCACTTTCTCGCCGCGCCTTGACACTTTTGACACTGGGGGAGGGGGTGCTAAGGCAGGGGAAGACACAACTGTTTGCGCTTCAATTGACTCACCTTTGTCAAGATCAAAGTGAGAGCCTTCGACGCTGGTGAAAGGGCTTAGTTTAAAAAAAAATTTTTTTTTCCCCCAAAATTTACCTTTCTCTTCCTAACTTTAATTAGCCAATGACTTTCTTGAGCTACCGGATTGACAGTCACCAGCCTGGCAAGTACCGTAAACCACCGATGTGCAACTGGGGCTTCCGGGATGCCTAGAGAAGCCCCGTAAAGTGGGGAGGAGGAGGGGGTGGCTGACTCACGGACGATGACGCACTTCCGGCGTGGGTTCCTGGGAGTTGGGGGCGGAGTGTCACGGGATTCCACGGATTCAAGGCGTCCACTAGGGGGCGCCGGTGGGGCGCGGCGGTTCACGGGCGGGCAGGCGTCCCGTCGCTCACGCAGGAAGTCCCCGCAGGCCCGAGGGCCGCCCGGTGGCCGGGCAGCGACGCTGGGGCCGGAGACTGGACGATGGCTGTGAGGCCCGGGGGCCCCAGCCCGCCCCGGCGCGGGGAGTTTTTGATGGTGAAAGTGGAGGCAGAGCCACGCAGGGATCAGGAAGCCGACCCGCCGGGCCGCTGGCAGGACCCCGAGAGCCTCCGGCAGCAGTTTAGGCAGTTTCGTTACCAGGAGGTGCCCGGGCCGCTCGAGGCGCTGAGCCGGCTCCGGGAGCTTTGTCGTCGGTGGCTGAGGCCCGAGCTGCGCTCCAAGGAGCAGATCCTGGAGCTGCTGGTGCTGGAGCAGTTCCTGAGCATCCTGCCCCCGGAGGCCCCGGCCTGGGTGCGGGAGCGCTCGGCCGAGGGCTGGATGGAGGGAGCGCTCGGGGGGTTCGAACCTCAGGTGAGGAGTGCCAGCCTCCTTCGTGGTGGAAGGATGTGGAGGAGGGAGGTGAAGGGGATGCGATGCGTTTCAGACGTTCTTTCCTTCTTAGATTGTGTTTGAACTTGCGGCTATGTTTGCGATTTCCCTTTCCGCAGGAAACCAAAAAACAAAATGCACTGCCGTCAGTCGATTCCGACTCATCGTGAAGCCGACAGGACAGGGTAGAACTGCTCCCGTGGTTTTCCGGGACTGTAACGCTTTAAGAGAGTAGAAAGCATCGCCGTTCTTTGTGGAGCGGCTGCTGACCCGGCGAATAGCAGCCCAAGGTGAACCTACTTCCGCCACCAAGGCTCAGGGACCACAAGGAAATCCATCCCGGAAATGGTCCTTGACTGTTCAGGACAAACTCAATCGGGCTGACTTAACCCATTGTAAATTGAGTTACGACACTCTTGTCTTGCTAGATAGACTATTTGGGAGAGAGGCTGTCAGGCTATTTCTACTAAGGAAAGTGGACTTGGTGTCCTTCAAATGACTTAGGCCAGAAGGGCAATCCCTCACCACTTTGAATGAAGCCCTTTATTTTGACAGTGCAGCAACAACCTCCTCCTCCTCTGTGCTGCCTGGCAGGGGAGAGAGCGAACTACTTACAACTTGTTGGGTTGGAGTGAGTTTGATACAAAATTACAGCATCAGCAGAAATGTCTGGTCTGGGTTCCTTGCTTTTCCTTGATGACTTCTCATCGTTCTCAGCATCACTCCACCACTAAAACCAAATGAATGATATAAGATGGACATTCTGTTTGGGGTGTGAAGGCAGTAAGAGAGAACTGTCAATCAGGATAAGCACCAGATGGGCTTTAGTAGCTATAGGGTGACCCAGTCTTAACTCCCAAGGCCCCCCAGTACTTTGTTGGAAAAGCATACCTCGGACAATCCCCTTTATGTCTCGTAGTTTCTAAACACTGGCCAATTGAGAGGAATTGCTCATTCATGCCACTGCAGCACGCTGCTTAGGCCATCTTTTACATTATACAACTTCTTGGGTGGTGCAAATGGCTAAGTGCTAAGGACGGAAAGTGGAGGCTGCAAGCCTGTGCAGAAGCGCCTCCGAAGAATGGCCTGGTGATCTGCTTCCAACAGCTCACAGCCTTGAAAACCCGTGACGGAGCAGTTCTGTCTGCAGTTCTGACTGGAGTGACATCGGAAACAACTCGACACCAACAACCGACAAGAATGGACACCAGCATGGATGTGTAGAACCCGAAAGTTGCTGACATTTACCATTAGCATGTAACTTCTTACAGCAACTTCAGACCAGTAAAATCTTGTAGCTGAAACTGATCTTTAAACAATGCCACTTTCTCTAGTATGAAAGATAAAGAGGAGGCACAGAAAGGCTGGTTTTTGTTGCCATTAGATGCCACTGAGTTGTGGCCCCAACTCTTAGTGTACCCCTCACCCCCATCCCCGTGTACAAGGGAACCAAACACTGTCTGGTCCGGTCCTGGCCTCACCATCGCTGTTATGTGTGAGCCCAGTGTTGCAGCCATGGTCAATCTGTTTCACTGAGGATGACCCCCCTTTTCACTGGCCTTCTCCTTTCCCAAGTGTGTCAGGCCAGCTGGTCTAGACAAACAAAGCCAGTGACACTGATAGATGTATAGGAAAGAGCTTTATATCAAGAAGTATCTCAAGAAGGCATCCCAGCCTAGTCCAACTCAGGTCCCTAAATTAGCCAGGGTGCTCTGCAGACTCCCCT